AGGATTCATTACAAAAAGCTGAGATATTTAAAAATATGGGTTCTTTAGCTATCCAGTCATGTCAATGTTTAATTGTTACATGTTCAATGGACATTAAAAATAAGTCACTGGACACCTGGAACTAGCATCACATCAAAATAAAAGTGTTGAAAAGTAGAGTATTTTCTGAATTAAAATATATTCAAGTTGATCCATATTCAAGTATTTTAATACTTCAAATTTGTTCTTTCCACATCTGTTTAAAACTATTGTTAAATGTTAGTATATTCTTTTGGATTGTGCCTTTGTGTTTATGTCATGAGTCAACTGAGAAAAGTAGTCATACAAATAATGTGAAAGTTACTGCCACAGCATGAATGTACAATTATATTAAATTTAATCCACAGAAGTCTGTTTTGATGTGCTTTATGTTATTAGATTTGTTCAAACTTCAGATCATTATTTCTCTCCACTTTGCCAGTTTGGGTTTGTACATATTTTCATTAACCCCCATGGTTTTTTGAACATTTCCTATAAAAGTATTTCTTTTTTATATTGCTCTATAAAAAGTTGCATAATTTCCATTTCTTCTGTTGGATTTCCTAGAGAACAAAATCTCTCAAAAATAAGTTCTTCCTTTTCTGTACTAATTGTCTCAGATATCTGTATTCCTTTTACTGTCAAGAGACTTGATTAGAATATGGTAACTTTTTTTCATTTAACTCATGTATTATCCAAGCACCCACACAAAGACAAGGAAAGTCTAAGCACTAAGGATATAGTACAGACAAAACAGTCCTAGCATGTGAGTACAGCAATGTATAAGGTCTAAGAGGTAAAATATGAAACAAAAGGTAGTATTCTTAAAATAACCATTGTGTTACATTATACTTTAAGAGAAACATACTGTAGACAGATTAAGATACACATGTAGATTGACCTCATCTGTAAATTTAGATTGCTTTTTAAAAAGGCAAGAGACCTAGTAGCTTTAATAGAGTCAGGCATAATTTAGGTGGTCATTTTAATATCATTGAATGGAACTTTAAAAAATAGAATACAACTTAGGTGCATTTAAGACATCCAAACACTTCATGGCATGTATGCTTAAAATAAGACTTGAAGGTAACACCGTATCAGTGGCTGACTGCCAATCTATGTTAGTTCCTGACTACATCTGTTTTCAGCACAGAGGAGTCAGAACAGTACAGTTCTAATTCCATCCCGACGTGCATTCCAGCTTCCTGCCTTTTATTTTATTTTTTTTGTCAAATTCAGCTCAGATATCTCTTGGCAACTTTAGATAGGTGAGAGAAAAGCCTTGTTAGTAAAGTTCTTTCCAAATGTTCGCATAACTGCTATTTAAAAGAACAGAAAGGTACAAAAATAAGCCTGATTTTGTTTCCCTTGTTTTGTCCATGGAAGTGACCAAGTTTGAAACCAATTACTGAATAGATAGAATTCCAGTGTAATTATGTACCAAGACAAATACAGTTAATATTCATGAAAAGCTAATTACAATCTAAATAACTTCAACATCTCAAAGATGCCTAGAAAGTTCAGGTAATTCTTATATACTTTTTCCTATTATAATTTGCTTTTTATACCTGAAATGAATCCAACTCTAAACACAGGATATGAGTAGATGAATTATTTTTCAATAGTGAAAATTATTTTCTCCATAATTAAGATGCACCAAATTTATATACTCAGATTGCTTTAGATGGGCACATTTGTGTTCAGTAAGTATATTGTCAATGGCAGTGCAAATAATTACTAGGTCCAAAACAAGGACTGGCACAGATCTACATACAATGGCTCATTGTCTCTAATGAGGACATTATTGGGATCTCTCATGTATTTGTTCTTAAAAATCCTTTTTAAAAATAAGGAATAGGTGGACAAGCATTTAGTGGGGAAAATTTTAGGTGAAACTTTAGCCTAAATTAAAACTTGACATTTAAAAACTGAGAAAAGGGGCAGGCCTGACTTACACTGGGTGCTAAGAAAAACCAGGATCAGCTTAAACATTTGTTTGAGGTGAATCACAAAAATATTCATCCAAATTATTATTTAATATCTTGTTCTCAATCCTGATTATGCATCAAACCTCAAACACACTGATTCCAAGTCTATAAAGTTGGGATCTGGGCTTCTGTTTTTAAAAGCTCAAAAGATTAATGTAGTAGACATTGTTGGCTGCCCACCTTTTTCTCTTTCTTACCAGAATCCTGATTTAAACAATTATCCATTCTGCCCACATGTGCCTCAGAGGACGAGAATTCTACTTCCAGCTCCAGTAAACTAGGCTGGCTTATGGGTCCTTTCAGGATAGGTCTAAGCTATTTTAGATCAATAAGACCCAAGGATTTGGTGGCAAATTTGGGGAAAGCTTTTTTATATTAAGAAAGGGCTGCTGGAATACAGCCTGACTCCTCCACTGCATGTAAATGAAGGTGTCATACACGGCCTGAACTGCTTTGGCAACCATTCCATGAAGGTAGCCAGCCTTAGGATGATGCCAATGCTGCAGTTGAAAACAGGAGGAAAAACCCAAGAGGTTCCTAATGACACTACTGAATCACTGGATCAAAAATACTGAAGCCCGCCCTAGCTGGTTTGGCTCAGTAGATAGAGCACTGGCCTGTGGACTGAAGGATCCTAGGTTCAATTCCAGTCATGGGCATATAACGTATTTTTCCGTGTATAAGACGCCCCTCACTTTTCTAACCCAAAATTAAGAAAATATTTTAAACATTTTGCTGGTTTTCCTCTAAAGGCCTTCTTTTTTGGATCTTAAGGAGTTGTTCCTGTTTTCTCCACTGTCTGATCATATACTCAGTGGGAGGAGGTCCAAATTGTGTCTCTGCAGCTCTATTTCCATGCTCTCTTACATAACTGATCACATTGTTTGAATTTTGCAGAGTAAGACAATCGCTTACTGGTATTTATCTTATTTTTTGACACCTTTATGGGCTCAGAAAGCTCCAGTTCTTGTTGCACCTGTGCACTCTCCACTTTCACCTCCAATTAGAGCATCAGTTGATGTAACAATAAGCTTGTGATTGGAGGAAGCCTGTTTGACAAGGTATGGGCAGCTACGCACCCGCACAGCTCCCTCCTCAGTTGACTTCCGTGTGTAAGATGCCCCTCGTTTTTCAGTCTAATGATTTTAGGAAAAAATAGCATCGTGTGGACGGAAAAATACAGTACCTAGGTTGCAGGCTGGATCCCTGGCCCTGGTCAGGGAGCATGCAAGAGGCAACCAATCCGTCCGTGTGTCTCTCACATTGATATTTTTTTCTCTCTCTCCCCCTCTCTTCTCTCTCTAAAAATCAATGGTTAATTTCCTCGGGTGAGGATTAACAACAAAAAATACCGAAGCCCAAAGTATCAATACATTTTGTCATTTTAAGTTAAAATTTTAGTTATTTGAATCTGAAAGCAAGAGGGATCCCAGAACAGCATTCTTTGAACCATAATAATCTGTATAAAAACCACACAAACACTCCTTTGTACTTATTTAATATGCAAATCTGAAATTGACTTACCTTTCCTCTTTTAACAAAAAACCTAAATATAATTTGTTCTATTCTTCTAATATTTGAGCTGAACCATATTTAAGTTTATATTCATTGCATTCACTTCATTATTTACTCAAAGTTTTTGCTATAGGCTTTGTCTTGAATGTGTAAGACCATTCGCCGTGCATAGAAGTCCCTGTATTCCTCTGGTAATTCAGCCAGTGTTTTTAAGGCTCTGTCCAAAATTTGTGCAGCTCTTGATGCTGCCGTGAGATCTTTGTTTCCATAGGTATCTGTTTTATCATAGCATTCAGACGGAAGGTGTTTCCAAAAGACATTCACTCCCACTCCAAACTCTTCAGAAATTACATTATGGAACCATAAAGCTGAAGAAAAATTTTTAAAAAGTTAAAAATAAAACCTACAGTTAAAAAAAAAACCCCACCAAAATGTCAGTGAAATATCACAAATTGCATATAACCAATGTAAGAAATAATTCTTGTAACTAGACCCCTTCGTTAGCACACTCCCAGCTTTTAACAGAATCATTTTAACTTTTATGAATTGCCAACCAATTTAAAGTGTCAATAGCACAAACCTACATTTAAAACCTTTTCAAATAGCAATTTTTCCTTTTTAACTTGAAAGACATAATAAAGTTATATTTGTTTTACAGATATGTAATTTGGAGCTGTATTTTGTGTTACTTGTTTACACTTCCTGAGTCACACAACCACATCAAAAGTATGTTTTGTACACAGAACATTTCAATTACTTGAGGAGTATACAGTAGGGCCTTGACTTACGAATGTCCGACTAACGAGTTTTTTGAGGTACCAGCTGTCTCTCGGCTGATTTTCTGCATTGAGTTGATAGAGTAATTTGAGTTAATGAGCTCCTTAACAAGCTCGGTCTCAAAACAAATTAAACTCGTAAGTCAAGGCCCCACTGTATTTGACCTTTTCTGACTTAGCACAATACCTTTGTTCTCAAAGACTTCCTGTTCAAGCTGCATTTGCTAACTTGCTTGAATTTGCATTCATCTAACTTCAGTTTTATATTTCTAATGCAATCATAATCATATTTTTAAGCTCCTTTACAGTCCATTATATATATATATATATATGACCGTTATGACCAGTCAACCAAACAACCAGTTGCTATGACCTGCACTGACCACCAGGGGACAGATGCTCAACGCAGGAGCTGCCCCCTCGCGGTCAGTGTGCTCCCACAGCCAATCTCCTGTGGTCCCTCCCCCTGGTGGGCCGGCCCTAATTGGCCCCTATCAACCCTGATCACCGGCCAGGCCAAGGGACCCCACCCATGTATGAATTCGTGCACTGGGCCTCTAGTAAGTATATAAAACTAAAGCAAATACAGAGGTGGGCAAAAGTAGGTTTACAGTTGTGAGTATGTGAAAGTGTATTTTTGTGTTATTATTTATTACTAGTGGCCCAGTGCACGAATTTGTGCACATTGAAAAGAAATTAATTAGAAGAAATATTTTAAGAGCGCTATTCGCCTTTTCTCTATAGAAGTGTCAACCAAATTCACAATCAACAATGACAGATCAAAACATGCATGCAATTGGCATCAGCAAGAGCTTTATATGTATTGCCATGTGCAAGTCAACTTAGCCTTTTATATATAGAAAATAACCTTGCTTAATTAGACTTGCTTTCTGATTTAACTAAACTTTTTCCAGCCCAGTGAAGCACCCCAACTTCTCTTTCAGGTAATTGTCAGCAACACAGCAGTAAATTATCAACATGAAGCAGATTATTATTGTAGACTAGAGGCCAGATGCATGAAATTCATGCAAAAGTAGACCTTTCTTCCCTCCGGCACCCAGGACTCGGACTTCCCTTCAGCCGCTGGCAGGCATCCGGGACCCGGGCTTCCCTCCGGCCGCCAGCAGGCACCCAGGACCTGGGCTTCCCTCACAGCCCAGGCTTTGTTCAGAAGGTCATTCAGAAAGATGTCCAGTCTAATTAGCATATTATGCTTTTATTATTATAGATTATGTAGGGAGAACAAAGGGTAAAATATTTAACTGCAGCAGTGTTTGACTATATTCTGCGCAGTGAAAAACCTAAAGTCATTTTCAAGGTTCACCATTTCTTCTTTTCAGCCAGGTCAAGTTTCTAAACTTTCTAAATCTCCATTTTCCGGCTAATGAAAAGAAAATAGGATTCCAGTGAGTCTCCTATCTACCTACTCCAGGACTTCTGTGAGGATCAAATGAGATGAGGCACAGGAAAACGCTTCACAGACATTTGGTTAAAGAGTAACATGTTTGCACCTGGCTATAAAGCAAGTTGGGTTCCTGGGCTGAAGAAATTGCAAGGCTAGCTGTCGCTAGAGAGAGGAAGCCGGGCACTGCTACGTGACATCATTACCTGGCACCCACAGCCACCATTTCCAGACTGGGCTGAGTTGAGCTGTGGGCTGCATTTTGTGCCATGGGGTCTCAGCAGCATCAGCTGCAATTTGGTGGGCTGTTCCTCTGGGGTGGTGGTGGGGTCTGTGTCCCCTTGGGTGAAGTCGAGTGTTGCTTTGTGGGCACCAGGTCCGTGGTGCCGTTTCTTTGTAAATGGCCAATGCATGTCATGACAACTGCATCGAGCGTCAGCCCCAGGTGGTCAGCGCACATCATAGCAACCGTCGGATGGTCAGACACTTAGCATTAGCCTTTTATAGATATAGATTGTATTACAACTGTAAACCTACATTTGCCCACTCCTGTATTTTAGTGGAGTGATCTTTTTCATATACATATAGCTGATTACTTTACTTTTACTAGGAGGTTTACATCTTTGTCTTCAATTGAGTAAACATTTCAAAATATAGTTGCTATAAGAATATTAAAGCAATACCACAATATAACAAAACTGAAATAACTAATCACATCCAAATTTGTCTCAGTTAGTGAAAGGGTGAAAGGAAGATACTTAAGATGTTAAATTTAAACACAAACTCAACAAATGCCCATAGGAAAAACAAAACCTTAAAGTGTTTTGATTTGCAAAACTAGTTTTTAAACATGGTTTTAATATTAGCCACTCTTTCTTTCAGAACCTTTTTTTCTTTATTCAATATAACAGGAAAAATTATAACCATTCTGTTAATTTAAACCCAAAGATGGGGCTTTGCTTTATTTCAAAATATATGCAAGTGTTTAGTATTTCTGGACATTTTTTTCCTTTTTAAAAAGGTTGTACACAGAATAAGGGAAAACTACACAGCCCTTAATCATGCTCTAAAGATAAAAAAAAAAAATTAAATAATGGCAATAGACTTAAAGACTACTGTGCTGGTTGTTCAATAAATACAAGAATCAGAAGTCAATGTATCAAACTTTATAGACAATCAATTATGTGAAGGACATTGTATCAAGCTACTTGGGGAATACAAAGATTAACAAAACATGGTTCCCTGTCTTCAAGGAATTTATAATCTATCTGCAAATGAGATCAGCATATTTTTAGTAATACTTAATTCTATCATTAGAGAGGTATTAATGATTTTAAAAATATTAACTTAAAAGTGGGAAAATTATATAGAGAATTTGTTAATACAACCATTTAATCTGAATTATAATTTTTATAAATTTCAGGTATTTACTTCAGAATAATCCTATATAATAAAAGGCTAATATGCAAATTGTCCCCTCAGGCATTCTACCAACTGGGAGTTTGCTCGCTATGACATGTGCTGACCACTGGGGGAGAGGTGCAGAACAAAGGAAGGCGCTGGCTGGAAGCTAGGGGAAAGAAGGCCCCGGCTGGCGGCTGGCAGCTGGCAGCTGGGGAAAGGAAGGCCCGATAGGCCCTGATCGCCAGCCAGGCCTAGGGACCCTAACCGTGCATGAATTTCGTGCACAGGGCCTCTAATAATTATAGATGTTAATTATATCACTGGTTAGCAGCAACAACTAATGCCTATTTACAAAGAAATTAAGTAATACATTAAAACTGTAGAAAATAATGAACACAAGATATCATAGGTGTTAAAGATTATAACATTTTGATATTTAATAAAATCTCTAATCTATTTTGGCTATGAAATACATTTAACATTTCTTGGTAAATACTGAAATGACAGTTCTAAAATACATAAATATTTTAAAAATAAAATGATTAAAAAGAACAACCAGATAGAACCTTTTCCCAGATATAAATCATCTTCCTTGATGTCATTTAATAAAGTATAATAATATATTTATATGTTGCCTTCAAAAAAATAAGATTTAATTTTATAAGAATTTGCCAAAACATACTTTAAAACACATACACACAATTATATATAAAAATCATTTTTTATAGGCCAGCATACATATAACAAATATATTTTGGACTAAAAAATCATATAATGGGTAAGCGATAGAGTACAGATTTTATAAATAGCAAATTACAGAGGTCCAGAAATCTTACCAGGAATGAATAATACATCTCCAGCATTAAGGGAACATTCATACCTTCTAGCCTTGGAAAACAGTGGATATTTAGCTAAGTCTGGGTCATCTATATTCAGTACTTCTGATTTAGTACCTGAAATGTCCCAAAAAAGAATAATACATATTGAGCAAAGTTAGCCTTTTTATAAAAGTAATTACAAATATAAAATTGAAAATTTATTCTTTTCTGTATGACTTTCTATACCCACACTGTGAAAACAATTACCATTCTCCTGAAACCTAATACATTTTCCAATGACTCATCCTTTATGTATGACCACTGCCATTCATGTAATACAATTAAGAAAATTTATAAATCTCATTCTTCATTTAGCCTAACATTACATGTGTACACATACACAATGGAACACAATACATTTTAATTAGGAAGAAGCCCTAACATGTTTTTCTATGAGAACAGAGAGGTGTCTCAAAAAAGAGTACTAAATGAATCAATCTGTAAAAACAAAAACTTTAAAAAAAAGAAAATACCTGATAAATATAAATACTGGGCATCTCGAGGACTGAACAGTACAACACGCTTTTTTCCTGTCACTTGTATTAGGAAATTATCCATTACCTGGAAAGCAGTAAGAACTTATGAATAAATAGTATCTAAAATTCACATAAACAAAACCAATGGTATTCCAAATAGTGAACTGTAAATCCTATCCTTTAATAAGACTTGGCTCACATTATGTAAAATCTTAAGAGTAATGTTCTAATGTAACAGTGAAAACATTTGTATTAAAAACACCACTGTTCATTTATGGAAGATATTTCTGTAGCACTACCTTAACATAGAAAGGGTTGGCAACCCATTAGGAAATCTGTAGTTGCCTCACCATTATGACAGGGAGGGTAGTGACACTTATTTGAGGCTCCCCACTTTGGTTTTATTACTTATCTGTCCAGGAATGCTAGAAGGCAGTACTCAACAACAAATTAAAAGCACCTAGAAATATTAGGTGTTGGAAAAATACAAGGTCCTGTGGCAACTACTGCTCTTTCAATGACTTAATATATGGCCATAATTTGTTTATAGCAGCGGTCGCCAACTGGTGGTCCGCAGACCACTGATGGTCCATGAGGTCTGAAAGGTTGGCAACCACTGGTTTAAGGAAACCTTTGGAGCAGCGGTCACCAACCGGTGGTCCGTGAGGTCCAAAAGGTTGGCAACTGCTGGTTTATAGGCATCTTAATTTTAAATTATTTCTATAGGACTATAACCTTGCAAATTTTCTTGACATACTATTACTGGAGCAATCATGACTTCCTGTATATGCAAGGGTGCACTTTGTTGGTAGATTGTGAAAAATGTTAAAAGCCAGAGTGACATAATTCTCAACGAAACAATTAAAATAATACAAACAAGATATATTCATGGTTATTTACATACTAGAGGCCCAGTGCACGAATTCATGCACAGGTGGGGTTTCTCAGCCTGGCTGGCAATTGGGACCCATTGGCTGGCTGGGGGGAGGGAGTGTGGGAGGTTGGCCGTGGGAGCACACTGACCACCAGGGGGCAGTTCCTGCGTTGAGCATCTGCCCCCTGGTGGTCAGTGCGCATCATAGTGACCGGCTTTTATATATATAAATAGATCATTTCTACCTAAGCATTTTTCCTTTAACCCACCTTATAAACCTAAACTATATAATAACCAAAGGGCATTCCAAAAATTGTGTACACACTTTAACAGCTGATAATTTTGAAAATGAACTGTATGTTAATACATATTGACTTTATAATCATTCAAAGCCTTTATACCAATTAGTAGCTCACTTAATTTTGAAAATAACCTGTATGTTAATAAACACTGACTTTATAACCATTCAAAGTGTGTATAATTTGGGGGGGACACCCTGTATACTACTACTATTCCTTTATTTTTAATTTAAGAAAAGCTTTATGATATTCCATAACTCAATATAAAAAGGATACTACTTAAAATTAAAAATATAACCTGAGAATTCAGTTAAAATGTATTTGAGTTATCACATCATTTTCTCACCATATCATTTACATAAGACCTTTAAAAAACAATATGCTAGGATTTTGTCTATCTCAATTATAAAGTTACTATGTTAAAATCCTCTCAAGAGATCGTCAGTTGAATTATAAAACATACTTATAAAAATTAATATAGTTGGACTCAGAACTTTTTAAAAAAAGAATTCCTTTATCTTTATAAACATATTAGGTATTAGCTTTAGCTTCCTAAATTTCTCCACCCAACACCAAACCACACACAATACCAGATTTTTAAAGTTTGTAAAACATTCCTATCCATTAAGCAAATAAAATTATAACACCACAGAATAAATTATCAAGATCAATAATCTACACATCTTGCTACTCAACCAATAGATATGACACTCTCAGGGGATATATACCTAAGACCTTCTAATGAGTGAAAATGTCTGTCCAGAAGCTTCTGATTCATACCACAACCTTATCACTTTTTCTACTTCCACCATTTTCCATCATCTGGTGGCCATTTCTCACATGTTAACAAAACAAAAACACCTAATAAAACGTTATATATGACTAGAGGCCTGGTGCATGAATTTGTGCACATTGAAAGGACATTAACTAGAAGGTGGCTGGTGGGGAGGGACTGGGCGAGATGGGCGGGACACGCCCTGGAGCCAACCTCACACGGTCTCTCTCTGGCCAGCTGCACCTGGGGCAGCGCTGGGGCTCAAAGGGCATCTAGTGAGTGGGGTCCCTCTGGCAAGTGGAGTCCCTCGGCTTGGACTGTGGGGATTGGGCCGAAACTGGCTGTCTGACATCCCCCAAGGAGTCCCGGAGTGCGAGGGCATTCTGCAAAGTTGCTGTCGCTCCACAGCTCCTGCATTGTCTGCCCCCTGGTGGTCAGTATGCATCACAGCCACTGACCAGCCATTTGACTGGTCACTTAGCCTTTTATATATATAGTTGATGAATCAAGAACAAGACCACTGAGAATGCAAATGTGATAAACTAGGCTTTGGTGTTGGCTAACAATTCATTTCCATATCACCGCCTTGCAGAGCATCTGTTTTCAACCTCATGTTTTAGCAAATTACATGTCGAAGATATTTAAGGTAGCCCACAGAGCTGAAACTGTGACTGTTAAATCTATCAATGCTAAACATCTACAGTAGCTTTGGTTTCTCATCTGTGTAGCATACATCATAGTGGGTCCAAAGTTGTAATCCCGGTGAGCTAATTCGAAAAACACTGGAAAAGAACTGCTCCTCTTTGAAGAATTTTGGAAACTTAATATCTTCTTCCAATAAAGGAAATTGCTTTCTGATATCTGCAACATCCTGCATTGAGAGGAACACAATAAGAATTTTAACAAAACAACACTGGCACAATGCTTATTTTATCTAAGACTGCCATCAGAATCCATGATACAAAAGAGAAATGGAGTGAAACTGTTCACTGCTTTAAAACACTAGGACATGATCATAGCCACCAATGAATACACACTGTGTAACAAGACTGCAGATTTAACACTGGTTAGCTTAATATGCTTCATTTATAGCAAGGTTCTTCCTACTTTAAGCAAGATTCATACAGTTGTTATCTAATATTAAGTATCTTAAGTTTAGGAGTCATCAACTTGAATGTTATCAACTATGTAAACCTGTGGTCTGAGGAAGGAGAATGAAGGCAAAGAACTAATGTAACCTTACTTAATTATTTTAGGGATACTCTTTAGCACTACAGCCATATAAATTAGACTCTGGATGCATGTCAAAGCTTATATAATGAGTTATTCAGAATTTTTATAATTATTTAAATTTATGTTATTTAGGTGAATTGCAATCTGTAAAATATACAATAGAAAGAATTTCTTAATTACGTACAGATTACCAGTAGATGACTTTAAACACTAAGATTCTATGGTCCTACTTGAAAAACTAAGTTATCAACTTTTAATAATCATACTTATTTGAATCATTAAGGAAAGAATGAAAAATGATAAAACAGATCATATGACAGGCAGCAAGTATAAAAATTATAGTGCCAGTTTATACACACACACACACACACACACACACATCCATTTAAGCTTGAAGCAATTGTTTCATATTCAGAATTCTTACCTTTCTAGGGTCTTCCCCAAGTGACCGTAAGTAGTACTTTTCATCCTTAAATGTCCCAGAGAAAAATAACATCAATACTCACTTAGAAATATTAGAAAGTAAAGATGAAAGGAAGTAAGTATTAAAATCTAACCCAGTGAAGTCGTTTTCCAAAAAGTTACATCTTCTTACCCTTTCTACTAATGCTCTCTGGTGGCCATATGAAGAAAAGTCTTTACATGCTGCTTGTAATAATGACTGAATCCATAAAATATAAGTAAAATAAGCTCTAAAAGCAATACACACATACCACATCTAAAGCCACATTGTTCAATTTAGACTTTATATTCCAAATTATTTAGACTCAACAATGTCTTAAGACTTCAAAGAATTCCCATATGTACAACACATCATCTCAAAGTATTGTGAATGCCAACAAAAAAGTTCTTACTTAATGTAATACAAATACAATAGGGGATAAATAAAATATACTTTTAATAATTTTTTAAAATTCTGAATTGTATTTTATCAAGCTAAGCCTATCCCTGATTCTATAAATTCTCAAGCCAAATTCTTAAGAGTCAGCTCATGTATGTGAATTAGAAATATCATTTTATAGCAGTAAGTTTGCTACAATACAAAAAAATCACCAATTGTACTGCACTGAGTAGCTATAATAAGGAATTGTTTGAATTAGAAAACACTTCTGTTGACTGCATCTCCTATGAGAATTAGATAACTGACATATACTAAGTCAAGCACAGGGGCATTCTCCCATTTTTATACCTACATTGACTGTTAACACAAACTTCATTTACTTTATTAAACTTTATTAGCTTTTATAAATCTGCTAGAGGCCCGATGCACGAAATTCATGCAAGGGGCTTGGCCCTTGCAGCCCCAGCCTCATCCAGAAGGACATCCGGTCTAATTAACATATTATGGTCTTATTATTATAGATGATCAGAAATGTAAACTTTCAGATTAATTGTTTTTATATTATTAGTTAGTACCATATCAAGTAAATTCTATGAATTTATTACTGGCTAGACAGGTTTCAAAATATGTTCTCAAAATTCTAAGAGTTTTCTACCTGTTCTACTATTTCAGGATTTAAATAAATTCATGTGGCAGATACAGAGACTCACTTCTCAGACCCCCTTCAAGAGTGTGACTGACTTCCAGCTGCCAGCTGTTCGCTCCCTCGGGTCCATCTCACTTTTTGAACCAACGTCCTGCTCTTCTTGGAGCTCCCCCAACTAATGACTGAGCAAAACGGTAAAAGCCTAGACACTGCTACCCCACAAGGACTCCTCTACAGGCAGGGTTGCTCAGGAGTTCCATGATATTTAAAGTGAATTAAAGGTGGATTATATTGTAAATAAGTAGACTTCTTCTGAATAAATGTTAAAGCAAATTAAAAAAGTAATCACACTGATAGTAACTAATAATAAAATAAAGAAATAGTTCTCCATTAGCGTTTGAACTTGGTATATCAAACCAAAGCATTTTCAATGGAAGTAATACTAATAGCTAACATTTAGTGAGTAGTTTCTAGTCAGGCACTGTGCTAATAATTACTCTACAGATTAGATTTATGATTCATATTTTATAGCTGAGTACACTAAGGCACAGAGAAATAATCTGGCCAAGATTTACAACCTAATAAATAGTAGAACTAATATCTATGGCATATACAACCAAGCCGTAAGAGTGGCTATTAGAGAAGAATACAGCTCTTGTATATAAAATATTCTCTTATAAGAAAATCCATTTAGTATATAGATATTAATGTTTTCTAAAAAAATGTTAGAACCAATTACCTCTGAAATAAAGAATTCTTTATGCTTTTCTTCAGCTGCCCTCTGAACCAACTTGTCAAAAGGTAAAGTTCTGAAATAAACACAAGAGAATCCTTGGACTTAATAATAAATCAATTAATAATACTCTAATCATTATATATTATAGGGGTTTGTTGAAGTTGGATATGACCTCTTTTACAATATCCATAATGTTTATTATAACCTATTATGTGGAATTCTAAATTTTCAAAATTCATTTAGCACTGTCCTTACTTGACCTAGTTGGTCTGATATTCCTATTTCAAAAATTAAAGATTTTTAAATCTATGGTACAGATGGATCCTTCTCATATGCCAATATCCTCTTATTCCAAGCTTTTGTTAGAAAAATGTTCCTATGATGTTTGGTTACCTTTGGAAATACACACTTTCAAGCTGTTGTGATGATAGGGCTACTAATAATGCTCCTTTGGAAGAGACAGTAAGCAAAGGGTCAATGAAGGTCAAGTCCCCCCACCCCCAACTGGTCTTCCTGCCTTTTAGCGTCAGCAGAGAACACAAGCTTGTAACACTCCTCTCATCCTCCTGAATCATGCTCTGTCATTTTAAGGCTTCTGAGGAATATCTCGAGAATTCCAGTGAAGTGACAATGTTTTATTCTTAATGTTTCTACCCAAATGCCTGGCTCCTTCCACCTGGTTGAAAAGGCTGAACATTGTAAAACCAAGTGTGTTTCCTTCACCTCACGTTCCTGAGCCTTGAAAGTTATTTTTTCTCCTGGTCCCATCCTATCCCCTTCAAGAATCAAACGTACTGCCCCCACATAAAGACGATCCCTTATCAGTGACAGTAAGACAATCAAGTCCTCAAAAGCCTCTCCCCTCCTCCAGCAATGAACTGCAGCCTCCAAACCTCTGATTAAAAGTTATCATCTTTTCACTTTTACTTCCCCCTGAAATCTGTACTGGGAAGATGGGAAGAAAGGGTTGGCCCTACTTCCTCCTAGCAATGTTTTCCTACAAACATACCGGTTAAGATAAATGTGGAATGTCAACTGTGACATCAGGTAATACTGTTTATTGGTGAACTATGCCTGGCTAGAGAGCTGGTGGTGAACTATAAATATCGTTAGAAAGCAGGGGATTTGGCATCCTTATGGGTAGTGTAACTCTTGCAACTGAGTATGCCCTTAGAGAAACCTGCGTCAGTTCATGGGTTGTTTGTGCTACTGGTGTCTAAGCTAGGGTTCACTTTTATAGTCTTGTTCCCTCACAACAAAGCTGTTATACTTGGTGAGCCAAAGATGGCTCCCGGATTGGCATAAGGACTCCTATTGATACTATCCTGCTAGAATGCTTTTTTCAGCAAATCCAAGTGAATCTGATGCCAGATTATAGACTAGTGGATCCTGTGAGCATGAATGTCAAATGAACTCGAGGACACTGCTGGTACTGTAGAATGAGCACTGTGAGGGAAAAGGAGCCTGCCATCTACTCAGACCAATCTTCTACTATAGTTTCTGCCTAATAATATAAACAAATTTACTTACCATCATCCTATTCAGTTTTTCCATCTCTGACCTCACCATATACCCTTCATTCCTACCAAAGCATCTCTGAAGAGTCTGGGAGCAATGGGGAAGCCTCTCTGTCCCAGAGCCACCTCTGTAATTGGTGCAGTTGCCCAGGCTTAGATTGTTACTAAAGAGAACCCAGAAGTGTTTCAAGACCTTTACACGAACAGGGCAGATAGAGTGGTTCAGTCCAGAGAAGTAGAACAGGGCTGCCCCAGCACCTTTCTCCCTTAGGTACTGGTACCTGTCAGAGGTTCTGCAGAAGCAAAGCTGACAGAGGGGGATATAAAGTATATGAACTGGCAAGTTCCTTGGCCTCATGCATGTTTCAAAACAAACAAAAAACCCCCACAAAACACCTGCTACTAAAGTTCCATTTGTCTGGACTAACATATAGACTAGTAAGGGAGGTAGTATCAAAAAGGGGGTAGGATCCGGGCTCTGTGGAGTCAAGCACATCTGGTCTAAGTCCTGGTTCCATCATTTCAAGCTACATGATCTTGGGTAAGTTACTTAACATTTGTAACCCTCCATTAGCTCACCTGTATAGTTATTATTAAACTGAAGTGACAACACTGATACATGGATGAGAATTTCTTACTCTCTAGTCTGTCTGTGGCTGAGATGCCTTCCTTCTTTTCTACTCCCAATTAACTTCCATAAATAATCTATTTTTTTCTTGCACTAAGAAAATATTCTTGTAGCTTTTTAGTAGCCCTAGTGAAAGGTTTGGAGGAAGCTGGGATAAGAACTATTACATAATGTATGTGCTTCAAAAACAAGTTTTGAAAAGCTTATAGAACATGACAAAACATCAAGGCAATTCAAGAAGTTTCAATAACCACTTGCTATGGCATTGGACTCTGGAAAATAAACATTAACTGCAGGCTGAAAAATGCTTATCATTCCAGCACTTTCTTCCACTTTCTTTATTTAATAAAAAATGAAAGTTCTTAGACTTGGGAAAACTCATGGCAATTCAATTCAATTCATGGTCTATTAAAAACCAAAACCATAATGGTGAATATTCAAAGGATAAAAAAACTGAGAAATGCTTTGGCAAGCTGTAATATGAGCTTGGAAAACTGAGAAAGGGATGGCCCTGGACATTAGAAGCTGTTTAACTCATCTCTACTCTGGAAGAAACAGCTAACTCCCTTTAAAAGTCAGGCTATTGTGAACTACACATGTTTTTAATAGACTGAATGTGTTGGGAACTGGACAAGCTCAGAATGTGAAAGTTGTTTGTTTTTTAATGTAACATTTTTAACAAAACTCGTGGGAATAAATAGTATATTAAAACTATGAGATTACAGGAAAGCTTTCAAACGTAGAAATCCAGCAGCTTTGAACGATCTCATATTTGCTTTTAAGAGACCGTAAAACATAAAACTACAACCATGAGGGGGAAAAAGTATTAAGGTTATTTTTTAAAAAGAGAAAATTAAGTATGATTTTTTTAGTTACCTGAGTTGATGAAAGTTTATGCCAAACATAGCAACTACTTGCCCTACATTTCTGGAGAGGGCAGAAAAACAATGGACTTATACTTACCAAAAAACAATCTGATTTAGAAAAATTTCCAAAACTAGGGCATTAAAAATCAAAATAGATCATGAAAGGAAACTTTAGAATTTATTACTCTGGATAATAATTGCTAATGTGGTAGGATCAGTTAATTAACGAAGCATTCAGACGTAACCCCTCTAGTTATGACAATTCTCTGTTCCTTCCGTGATTCCAGAAGGCATCAGGTATACACCCTTGTAAAAAATGGTGTTTGGAAATGTCCTTGTATAATTATGTAAACTCAGAATTCTTGTCTTTTAAAAGCCATTCTTTAAAAATTAGTAAGCTATTCCATGATTATAGCAAACTAGCCAAAAGATGATGTGCCATATGGATTTTGTATAAATATCTTAAAGGTTTAAAACAAGTTATTTGTAACCCCAGAGTAAACCTGAGAAGAAAATACCTATATACAAAGTTCTTACTAATGAAGTCCATCTGGGGAACTGCAGCAACATGAATCTTCACTTCTTTCCTCCCTCCAACTTGGCTTAGGTACTCCACCGTCCATTTGCTTGTGCATGTCCCCAAATCAATTCCTTCCAACACTACAGGTTTCCTCTACAAAGGGGAATAGTACAAAAACAGGACCCAACAATATATCAGGAGTTGTATCTGACAATAGAGGGATAAAAATAAATTTATTCCAAGATGCTCAAACTTAAACCTTTTGACAATTCATGATGTAACTAAAATAGGAAAAGGACCCATTCTATATACTTAGAACAAAATCTTAACATTAGGAAAACAAAACCAAACAGAATAGTGACATCATGAACAGCTAAGAGATAAAAACAAACAAACACTTAAATAATCTAATTATTTAAAGCATTTTCAGGAGTGTTACTTATGACTAAATGACTGAAATGTGTATTTATAGTCAAATATGTTTGTAACTTTATTTTGATACCATTTCAAACTTATGGAAAAGTTGAAAGAACATCACAAAGAACTGCCATTTACCATCTACTCTGATTCCCCAATTGCTTCCTGTACCATTTGCTCTCATTCTAATTGTGTATAGAGAACAAGATAATTATTCTCTCAACTATTCGGGGTAAGCTGCTGATACCATGCACCTTTATCTCTAAAAACTTGAGTGTGTTTCCTGAGAACAAAGCCATTATTTTTTTCTCTGAGTTTTCTTTTAAAGAACTGAGGTTGGAATCACACACATGAGGGATTCCAGTGTTTGAACTGGAACCCGGATTAGTTAGCATCCAAGACGAAAAGCAGTGGCGGTTGCTTGAGGGAATTCCCACTGATTCCCTTCGGCTCCGTACAGTGAAAAATTGCTCCTTGAAATCCAGTAAAGTGGACTGACAGGCGCCATTCACGCCAACAGGGTTGCCTGGAAACCTATAAGATGTAAGAAACCCAAAGGAAGACAGCAAGGCGGGCGGGGTGGTGATGAAAGCGAAAGCGCCCTTCGTTGCCAAGGTAACGGCAGAAGGCTTCCGGTTGGGGCTCCAACAAGGCCACTCCTTGCAGCGAGAGAAGCTCTCATTAGTGGTTCTCAACCTGTGCGTCGCGACCCCTTTGGCGGTGGAACGACCCTTTCACAGGGGTCGCCTAAGACCATCCTGCATATCAGATATTTATATT